TGATACTCGTGATTAAGCCTCACGTAGTGATGTTTCAGAGGAAGCGTGCGATACTTCGTAAATCTTCTCAATGCTGCTCTCTTGATCGATTTCAACCTACGCAGCTCAATCGTCTGCCAGGGAGGGTGAGAGTCTTTGCGTTGAATTCTTTTCGGGACGTGTCTGTCAATGACATATGCCAAGACATGAGAAAAAGTTTGCGCAGCGGCCTCAACGTCGTCATGATCGAGAATGTTCTCCCAGTCCATGTTTGACAACACATCTACAATGCTTCGATGGTCGGCCTTTCGAAAGTCATAAGAAACCGCAGCAGGAAGACTATCGAAATCACGAACGAGATTGTCCTCAACAGTGACAATCAGAGGAGGGTGGTGCGGAACAAGCTTAACTAGTGGACAAGGTGCTGTGGAAATGAACGGAGCATTGTCCTGAGTGCTCACGAAGCAGAGGTCCAAACTACGGTTGTTCTCGTTGACTACGTAGTTAATTTGAGAAAGCGTTGCTACGCTATAGTTATCGAGAAGGCCGATAGCTCCTGCATGAAATACAGAACGTTCTGGATCTGGATAGAGGAAGGCGCTATGGGATGGTCTCCACGAAACGCCTGCTAGGTTAAAGTCCCCAAAAATGAATAGCTCATCAATTGGAGTCGCTCTTTGCATTACTGTGAAGACTGATTGACAGTGAGTCTCGATGAGTTCAAGATCACGAACTCGATCTGGTGGCATGTACAATGCGCACAAAAATAATGTGCGATCGCCCAGTTTAATGGCTGTCCAAACCTGTTCCACACAGAATAGAGAGAATAAAATCAGTGCAACGGCGGTTTGTTCGATTCGCACATCGTCGACTACCATGACGGGATCCATTTCGTCTCCCAAACTACGAGCACCGATGTCAGCTAATTCGTCTGAATACACTTAGTACACGAAGAGACGTTGCTAAGGCTATGCTGGTTTCTGATGCCTTGCTGGCTCGAGTTGATTGTCCTGAAATCCTACAACGAATCAACTTGTATGTGCGACCAAGATCTCTACGGAACAATGCGATGCTACGACCTCAACCTCACCGCACCAATTACGGAATGAACAGTGCCATTTCTGGGATACAGAGAGTTTTCAACCGGGTTGCCAGTCAATTTGATTTTAACGTTTCGCGTGACTTTGCTACGTGCTAGAATTCTTAATGTTTTTGAGATAATTTGAAACAAATGTGTAGTTTTAATGTATATTAATTTAGGTCATCGGCAACAACTCATCCATCATTGGGGCCAAGAAGCCTGTTGATGAAGAAATAATAATAATAATAATTAGCATACCTTAGCAATTCATTTTTTTTTTTGTATCGGTCCCCGTTGCTTTTCCATTAGCTAGATTTTGTATTATCAAGCTGATTTCTGCTTTTGTTGGTCCTGTTTCCTTTTGTTCTCTATCTTCTTCAATGATTAGTTCTTCTCCTAGGGTATCATTAAACTCCTTCTCCCATTGCGCCATTGTTATGGTAGGTTGTGTCAATCTTCCTTTTATTTTCACAAACTTTTTTCAGGTATTGATGTGTTCTCTTTATCCGTACTCTTGCCGTCTTATATCGATATTAGGTTTTGCAATAGTTGTGCCCATTCCTCGTTCTTTTGCGATTCTAGTACTCATCTGTGCCTTTCTCAATGTTTTCATTGCTGTCTTTCTTTTGGGAGTTGTTGGTATTCCTTTTCTCCTCAAAACATTGTTTGCTGCGGACTTTAACTTAGTTACTAGATGGCTGTATGCCTCATTGATTCCTTTTTCTTCTACTGCCACGTTGCCTTTTTTTTCTAATTCCTCATGATATATTTTCTTTATTTCTTTAAACTGCAAGTTTGATGCGCTGATTATCAGTCACGAGGAAAACATTGAAGGTTGTAGACGTGTACGAATCGCCCGATAAGGCCGATAAGGCCGATAAGACTGGGGAGATGGATTTTTTTCAGTTCGACTTGGGCTAGAACTGAGCAAGTGCACAGCAAAAAATTAATTTTAATACCGTTCCGATTCAAATTTCGGACGATTCAAATTTCGGACACTTTCATTTTTAATTAAATATTACATCCAGTTAGAAACAAAGTAATAATGTTAGATGATCGTGGAGGGCACTAGTCAAAAAAATTTAAAATTTACAAGACATGTGGATCATATTCGACCGAGATAATCAACTTTTAAAAGTGTCCGAAATTCGAGTTTAAGTGTCCGAAATTTGAATCGGCACGGTATCACTTCAAAGAGGATGCACTACAATCGTGTTGAAAATATGGTGTAATATTACTTGCCAAAAAGGACAAAATTATCATTAATACAGTGCATGAACTGACATTACGCTGCTTTTAGTGCATTTATTTTTGTGGCCATAAAAAATACATGATATTTTCGACATGATTGGAGTGCATCCTCTTGGATGTAATATTAAAATTTATTTTTTGCTGTGTGTCCAAAAGGTACTTTTTCGGTAGAAATACTTCAATTCAGTCAATACTAGTCAGATCTTAAATGTTTTTGTACCAAAAGATGGAAGAGAGACTTTTAACCTTGGTGTATCATTTTTTAGAATTTTTACCTTGTTCACTAAGGTCAAAATTAGGAAAAGTGGGTCCCGGTTACCCTAGTACATGACATTCAAAAAACTCTCTGAGAACGAAAAAACTCTCTGAGAACCAAAAATGGCCGTAGTAAGCCGAAAATCTGGCTTTAGGTGTATAAACAATCTAGAATCATTAGATTAGAGAATAGAACACTTTATATTTTTAAGTGAGGTCGGCCTCTCGGGCAGTTTTCAACCGATTTTTGATCCCAGTACACAATTCAACGCGTAATTAGCTTTGCTGCTGACGTCAGTGGTTCAAACTCCAGGAAAATAAAAGTTTGCATAGGTACCGAGGTATATAAACCATGCATGGAGAGTAGCGAGCTTCCCGAGAAGTACAATAGATATCGTTAGCCGTATGAATTCCTCCGGGAAGCTCCTGTCAGTTTGCTCTATTTTGGCGTGATCCATTCCATTTAGGCTAATTTATAAATGTGGAGCACTGCGAAAGAATACGATGGTAGAGGATTATTTTAAATGCCTTTTTCTTCGATAATTCGTTTATATTGTAATGTGAAAGGGCAGAAGCATGATTGGATCCCACAAGAAAATTATAGGATATTGACTGTCTTTGTAGTTTCAGTTCGAAGCAAAAGCTGATAATGGATAATAGAAGTCCTTCACGTCGTCCATGTTGTCCCTATTCACTCAACGTATATCAAAGATTATTCCGTAGTTACTGGACACGTCAGAGCATGTTAGTGAAAAGATTTTTACGATGTATGTTATCGATTGAAATGAGGGACACTTATTAAATGCATTCGATTAATTTTAAATTCAATCCGAATAAATTCCCAATCTTGATTTAATCTCGATAATTTATTTCTAAAAAATAAAACGTAAAAGTTAAATTTATTTCATTTATGCTTTAGTTCAAATGAATCTGAAGCATGTTTGTTTATGTTTATGATCTGGTATAAACGTCATGCTATATCACGCCAGCGCAGTCTGAACACTTCCACTTGATATCAATATCATCTCGCTATATCACGTGATATAGAGCGTAATGAGAACGGGGTATTAGGTAGCACACTTTCTTCAGCAAAAACCAAGAAAACGATGCGGACTGATCTAAAGTATGCTATATTTCAACAATCTTTGATGAAGTACTACAAAGTCTACAATGAACTTTTACAAAATGTGCTGATCTTCTACAAAAATCGATTAATTTCTGCAAAATTCGCCAAGCTTCCATGGAATTCTCTGAACTTCAACGAGCTTACTGAAGGTCAACGATGTTTGCAAAGCTTGTACAAAATAAGATGAACTTTTACAAAATTGTCGTAACTTCTATAAAGTTTGCTGAGCTTGCACGCAGTTTTGTGAACTTTTATTCCTGAATTTCAACGAAATTTCCTGAAGATATACGTAGTTCCTTGATGTGCTACAGCACTCCTCGAGCTTTTGCGAAGTTCTCCGAACTACTAAAAAGTTTCTTGAAATCAAATGACTTAACGTCACTTCTGAAAAGTCTTATGGATTTTTAAAAAAATTAAAAAAGAAATCACTACCTTCACCCTTCCCCTCATATTCAGTTGCAAATTTGGTAAGTAGACGTAAAGTCATGTGAAGGTATCTCGTCCATCTCATTGAAGATTTTTTTTCCTAAATAAACCTGGTATCCCTGCCCTGGATTCACTTTGAATAGAGAAAAGATCGTTTTAAAACCTGATAATATTCGAGAAACTTTGTTTATTTTTCTTTAACATTCATGCTCACACTAAATTCTGTGATTTTTCCTTAAAAGCGAAACCCTTTGCACGTTGATCGATTAATCATGAAACATCGTCAAAGCATCGGATCAACACTGCTTCCGGATATGAATAGTACAAAACCAAACAAACATCAAGTAACTATTTTCCGTTTCGCATCAGATCACTTTGCCAGTAGATTCTTGGAATTTGCACTTCATTGCCTAAGTCTATGTCTGCACCAGTAGGTACTACTGACCCACGAAACACTGCAATGGGGGAGAGAGACAATAAGCCCATAAACCAGTCAAAGCTAGCACCGCAGTCCAGGTTTCCAACGCGCACCGTCCGACGGAACTGCCCCTTCACCCGTGGTTTATGACACGAGCGTTGAAACCTGCAAACACTACTAGGTGCTTCTTTCGGTCACTTTTGAGCTTGGCCTCACTGGCCCTCTCCGACTAAATACTTTTCATCTCTCATCTTAACAAAAAAAATAGAAGAGAGCCCAATCTGTCGCCTGGATCTAATTAAACTCCGATTAAAACCGTACCGCTGCAGATTGGACCAGATTAGTCGCTAGACAGCGGTCGTACGGAACGGATTGAATTCTCGAAACGAAAAAAATAAATAGTGAGTGCGCGTGCAAATCTAGACACAGTTGCTGCTGATTTCAAAAGTGATTCTGCGTTCCAGTTGTTAAAGGCTGCTTCCAGTGGAACAGTAAAGTCGGCCAAATAAATCAGGCACAATGGTAATAAAGTGATTTTGGGGATGATTTATTAGTACACTACGGAATTCTGCTGGAAAACGAATCAAAGTTGAAGCAATTGTTGCGAATAATTATGATGCTACCGGTCTTAAGTGGAGCACGCGCGATTGAGACACTTGGGAACTGGAGAATGGCCAGTTTAAACAAAATAATGGTCGGAACGCATTTTGGGCGGCAAGGTTAAACGCGATGGTGGCTGTTGTGCGTGTCTGAAGATGGTCGGGAACTACCGATTGGAGCTGGTGTTTGGCGATGGTTTAGTTTAGGCAAGAACAATGGACTAATAACTAATTACTGATGTGTAGCTGGCGATGAATTCAGTTGGCAATTTGGTTCAATGGGAGTCGTTGAGACAAAGCGAAATGAACATTATAGTTTTCTGGTAAAAGAGCAATGTTAGTGTCGAGAGCGCTTTTCTGATGAACAAGCCAATTAATGGTGGATTGGCGGACTACTAAATTTGTACTGAGATAAAAGATGACCTTTTGCAGTATTGTGCATCCGACTGAAAATCATTTCTCGCTGGTATCACTGGTCTCCCCATGCCTCTAATGTCACTAATGACGTTGGAAGTCGCTAGTCTATAAAAGGTACACCTTGTCCTCAAGCGTTCTCTGTGTACGCGAATGGGATCACCATCAAAATGAATATCTGATGAGATTTTTAAACGTTTATGCTAATTCCCAATGATAAATGGTAGAATACATGCTTTCGAAACAACTTTCTACCAATCTGCATACAATTTCGCCGGAAATTTCATTCGACGCTGAGGGAATTTATTGTTTGGAAATCTAAATGAACCCTGTTAGAGGTAACGTGTATCACTATCCGTGGAGTATCCGGAACTTACCTGAGTATGCAAATGTTTGACACTGAATATCAGTATCCCGGGGTATCCAAATCATATCCGGGTGTGAGCGAATGAAAATGAATTTTAAAATACAAAGATACAAATTCGACTTTTTTTACAAAACCCGTGCAACAGCCTTAAAGACAGGTCAATACCGATAACATGCCACTTATAAACATAATTTTCTGTCCAAATCCATAAAAAGGATTTTAAAAATAAAAAAAATTATATTTAATTATGTATATCATATCCTTCTTAAGAAGTTAACTTCACAAAAAAAAAATTAAACTCTATTCTCTCAAGTACTTTCATGATCTAAGATTTTGTTCGTCTTATAAATGTTGTACAGTGTGATAAAACAGGTTTTAAGCACTTTTTGTACACATCGTGCAATATTTTTAGAACTTGTTTCATGATCTTAGTAGCTTTAGCATCCATGGAAAAGGTTGTGAAGAATACACAACAATTTACAATTGTTTTGGCCTAATTTGACATCAATTCTGAACGTCATTTTTGCTGCAAAATGAAAAAAAAAATTTAGTTGAAGATGCTAATTTCAAGTAACAGTAATTTTTATACGATAGATGGAGGAGATAAATGTATAGAGTTGATAGTTCCGTTAGAGTACGGCAGTGTGAAAATTGCATATAGATAGTAGATAGCGAGCTAGGACAACTTTTAAGGAAGGTACAAATCGGTTTTTTCATCTCTCTTTCCCAAGCTCTCCCTTTGGAGAGGGATGGCGTCTGGATGCCTTCCTCAAATAACAAGTGCGGTAAAAATCGGTAGAACTGTTTCAAACACATCGTTGGTACTTGAGCGGTCGGCGTTCATCTCTTTTTGCCAGTGGTGGAAGGGGGACACCCCTCACCAATCCTCTACAAAGGGGGAGTTTGGTAAAGAGAGATGAAAAAACCGATTTTTACCTTCCTTAAAAGTTGTCCTATCTCGCTATCTACTTTCTATATGCAATTTTCACTCTGCCGCACTCTAACGGAACTATCAACTCTATACTTTCATTTCCTCCATCTATCGTATAAAAATTACCACTTTAGCCTGTTACTTGAAATTAGCATCTTCAACTATGTAAATCGTTGACTTCACGCAGAAGTAGTACAAAACATATAGTCAAAGTATTAAAATTTAGATTTTCACCTAGAATGACCCAATTCAATATGTTCGCAACTACAACCTATTGAATGCCGATTGCTGATGCTGAATGGCAATTTTTCTTCTTTCCTTTATTTAACGTCGGTCTCTGTTCCGCAATCTAGTGCCAATCACCGACGGACATCGATTGCCATCCATTGACGGCAATCGAATGTGCAGGTAGGCAGCTTCCACACCTGCGTAGGATATCGCACCCATTCAATTCAACGCACATGGGCCGGGACCAACGGCTTTACTTCCCTTCCGAAGGAAGACGTGACCAGAGATTTTTATGCTTCAGAAAAATCCCACTGACCTCGGCTGGGATTGTAACCAGACCCATCGGGGTGTTAGAAAGCAGTCACGCTTACCACTACACCACCGGCGCCGGCCATGAATGGCAATTGTAAAGAGCATCTTCAAAAAGATATTAAGAGTTCTAAAACCTTGAAATATTCAAAAATTTACTGTTACGATGCGTTAAAAAACACAAAAATGCATTGTCGAAAACCTTATAAAAGGAACTACATCTATTATGCCTTTTTACAAGTATGCAGGCTCGCGGCATAATCAAGGAATTTATGCGATGTACTCATCTGTTTATCCCAGAGGGCAGAAGAGGATCGCAGAACCGTGGGGAATTTATTTTCCTTTTAGCGGTGTCCAAACCTGAGTATCCCAAGTGGGGCAGGATAGGATCGCAATCCAAAGTGATTCTTTGATCGAAAGTATTAATGAACTGCTTAGGTGTATATACGGAGTTTTGTCATAATACATTTTACAATTTGTTGCATTGGCATGGTGTGATTTATATTTAATTACTTTGAGCTTGAGCTTGAGCTTGATTGACCGCCCACGGTTGCTACTCTGTTACTGCCAGATCAGCTGTAATTACACAGAGAACCAATAGACGATGCTTGGGACTAGCAATCATCCTCAATGTGTAAAAACTAGTGATCTTAAATTAGGCAATACCAGCGCCGGCCGCGCCCGAACACAGGTCAAGAAAGGAATGGGAAGGATTGTGTTGACGTGACACTCGCTTTGATGGAAGCCGAGAACACCTCTGCACTTCCACGAGGAATCACTGGGATGTTGGATAAGAGGGTTGGGTTTGCAGCAGGGTTCGTTTTGGTAAACGATAAGCTGAATTAATGTCCTAACGATCATATAACGCGAAGGAGCTTGGGACTAAACCCACGGTCTTCTGCTCAGTAAGCAAGAACGTTTGCCACTAGGCAGACGAGCACCTTTTTAATCACCGAGTTGCTGTTATTACCATGTAGTCATATTAACAAATAAAACGATTGACGAATCTTGAATGTGGATGGCCCTGAGATTAGACTCATGATGTTCTGCTCAGTAAACAAAAACGGTTGCTCTAAGGCCACCGAGCCCCTCATATCACATAATACCGTTGCTCAAATTTGTGTATCCATTCAAACCCGGAACCAACGAAAACAACGAGTTTCGCAAAATACACGATACACAAGCGATTTTACCATAAATCTCTTTGATATGTAAGTACCTGGGATCGCGTTTTTCTGCTCAGTAAGCAGGCCACTGTAACCGACGATCTTTCAAATCCGAAAACTAATAACTACGAAAAAGTACTTAGGCTTTCATTAAGTTCCACTTTCACGCGACGTTCAATGACAGGGTCCTATCCAGGATTACATCTGAAAAATCCAAATCTGGCCAACGCCCACCTAAACCTGTTCTAATCCACCTGAAATGACTAACGAATGGAAGACTTTGACTACAGTCTCATTCAGTGCCTTATGGCAACTTGATGATTCTATTGCGCTCATCTTTTGGCACCACCCAGGGGAGACTTGGTCCTGTACCAAATGCTTAACTTATCTCCATTCCACTCAGCTACTCGCAATTTCTTGTGATATAGTGGGCGGAATATTATTATATGAGACAATTCAATGCAGACGTCTTTCCAAATTTGGCAGATCGACAGGTAATCGGTGAGTTACCACGATAGTTGCTATTCAACAACTCGACAACGTCCCATCGTCAACGCCTGCTATGAGAATTTCCCATTGCAGACGCCAACGAAATGACGTCATCGAGCTATCGATCAACTACCCTGGTTATCGCCTGGTACCTTATAGCACGATGCTAGGAGGCGAACCGGAAGAATTGATGAGCTACCTCTTCCCCCTCTTTATTTCTTAATATACATAAATAGACAAAAAAAAAACACATCGGTATTAAAAATATAATGAAATAAAATTCGACCGAGACAAGGATCGGAAACAGGAACACTAACAAAAAAAAATCGGCTTATAACTTCCACTTGATTTGAAGTCCATACATGTTGTCATACTAAAAAAGGAACAACCTAAATTAATCTGCATGTAAAATTTTAATTATTTATACCTACTACGCGATATTGCCTCACAAAAATAAAAATCAAACCAATATGGGCTTTCAATGACATGTAAACATGCACAATGAACTAGCGTCATATTGAATAGCACTATGAGTGAACTCATTTATTTTTTCAAACGTGAAAATCACTTAGGGTTTACGTGAAACGCACATAGAATCTGTGTATGTGTAAATCACGTAAAGTTTATTAAAAATTCTGGCGGCTTCGAAAGGAATTTCGGTTCACATATAAGTGGTATCATGTAGCGGTTACTTGGGCCACGTAAAATTGACAGCAAAGTAAAAAGAGATACCCTACGTGATTTTTCACATAACAATAACGTGTCGATTATTTTGAGTGTAGTCTTAACCACTTCAAACTAGAGAACAGCGAATAAAAGATTGGGGATCACGTAGATAAAAAATAACTACCTAACTCATTTCTTCCTTGTTTCAAAATTATCCTCGGTGGACAAAGCCGAGTCTTGTCACTATCAACAAGGCATAAAAATTAAAAAAAAGGACAAAGCTGTGTTCTTTTGATTACAAAAACTCATTTTTCCTTGTTTCAAGATCATCCTCGGTCCAGGCAATCCGAGGA